GCTGGGCCGCGGCAGGCGGGGAACCTTGGCTTCCTCCATCACTGGAGCAAGCAAGCCTCCTGCTCCCTTCAGCTGCGTGGCTGCCGGCCGCCATCTTTGTTGGCGTTTAATTTGCATATCTCCCTGATTAGCCAATGGGAAGCGTAGCGAAGGTATGGTCAATTACCCTTTTTGTCTTTTATTAGATAGGATGCTGAAAGGTATTCTTTAAGGAGAGGAAGAAGAAGAAAAAGGTAAAGATAAAAATTATGAACAACAAATACATATCTATCAACAAGTGAATCTAAAAATCAAGTGAATAAAAAATCTAATGAACAGAGTAAACTGGTGAATATAATAGAATCAGGGGCATAGAAAGGGAGTGGACTGACAATTCTCGGAGGGAAAGAGGTATGGAGGGTGCGGGAAGAGACTGTACAAAAATCGTACACCTATGGACAAGGACAGTGGGGGGAGGTAAGGGCAGAGGGTGGAGTGGGAACCGGGTGGGGGGGAGCTATAGGGGGAAAAAAGAGGAACAACTGTAATAATCTGAACAATAAAGATTTATTTTTTTAAAAAAGGTGTAGGGTAGCAGAACGGATACAAAAACATGACCCAACTATATGCTGTCTACAAGAGACGCACCTTAAAACAAAAGACACACACACGATGAAAGTGAAGGGATGGAAAAAAATTTCCCATGCAAGTGGAAAAGAAAAAAAATAGCTGGAGTAGCAATACTCACATCCAACAAAATAGACTTTAAAAGCATCATGCTAAGCGAAATAAGCCAGTTGGAGAAAGATAAATATCATATGATCTCACTCATTTGTGGAATATAATGAACAACATAAACTGATGAACAAAAATAGAGCCAGAGGGGAACTAAGAATACTAGAATATAATAGAAGTAATCCTGTTATTAGCAGATTTTTAGTATTTCCGACAACTTTTGTGATAGCGTACTGTTAGTACAGTTTTGGTAATATTATTATACTTAAAATCCTTTTCTTGAAATATTAATGTTTATTGCATGTAATATTATATGTAAGATCATTTTTCTTGAATAATTTGTGTTTATTGAATGTAACATATTTAAAATGGCGTTTCTTGAGATATTAAGGTTTATTGCATGTAACATTATTATATTAAAAATCATTTTCCTTGAAACTGAAAAAAAAATAAAGTACTCATACAACTGAATGAAAGACAAACAATCCAATTAAAAAATGGGCAAAGGACCTACATAGACACTTCTCCAAAGAGGACATACAAAAGGCCAAGAGACATATGAGAAAATGCTCAACATCATTAATCATTAGAGATACAAGTTAAAACGACAATGAGGTATCAGAATGGCTACCATCAACAAATGACAAGTGCTGGCGAGGATGTCCACTGCAGGTGGGAATGCAGACTGGTGCAGCCACTGTTGGAAAACTGTATGGAGTTTCCTCAAAAAGTTAAATATGGAACTGCCATTTGACCCAGTGATCCCACTTCTAGGAATATATCCTAAGAGACCCGAAACACCAATCAGAAAGAATGTATGCGCCCCTCTGTGTATCGCAGCACAATTTACAATAGCTAAGATCTGGAAACAGCCCATTAGCAGATGAGTGGATAAAAAAGCTGTGGCACATTTACACCATGGAATACTATGCAGCATTGTAAAAGAAGGATCTCTTATCCTTTGCAACAGCATGGAGGGACCTGCAGAGAATTATGCTAAGTGAAATAAGCCAGTCAGAGAAAGACAAGTATCACATGATCTCATTCATATCTGGAATCTAATGAACAAAATAAACTGAGGAATAAATTAGAACCAGAGGCATGGAAAAATGGAACAGACTGACTGATCTCAGAGGGAACGGGGATGGGGTGGGGGTGGGGATGGGATGAGATTAACCAAACAAGTTATATGCATATATGTATAACCCGTGGACACAGACAATAGGGTGGTGAAGGCCTGGAGGGGCGGGAACCAGATGGAAGGGGGCAGTGGGGGCAAAAGGGGGAACATCTGCAATACTCTCAATAATAAAGATAAATTTAAAAAACACACACAACATTAAGTCATTTCCCCAAAGTCACTCAGCAAGTCAGAACTAGACTTGCAGTTGCCAAGCAACATAAAATTTCAAATAGGAATAGTTCTTAAAAACCACCTAGTTCATTTTTCTCAAACTTTGATGTGCACATGAATCACTTGGGAATCTTGTTACACAGACAACAGTATGGGTACCAGAGGGAAGAGAGTGGGAAGGGGTTGTAAAGCGTAAAGGGGGTCACATAAATGGTGGTGGGAAAAGATCTGACGGGTGGTGAACACAATACAGTACGCAGATGATGTATCATAGAATGGTACATTTGAAACCAATGCCACCCCAAGAAATTTAATTAAAAAGATGTTTTAATGTGGATTCTGGCCCAATAAGCCTGGTTGCAGCTGAGATTTCATAATAATTATTATTATTATTTTTTCTGTTAATCCTCACTTGATGATATTTTTCCACTGATTTTTAGAGAGAGTGGAAGGGAGAGGGAGAGACAGGGAGAAATATCTATGTGAGAGAGACACATGGATTGGCTGTCTCCTGCACGAACCCTGACTAGGGCCAGGGAACCGACAACCAAAGTACATGCCCTTGAGTACATGCTCTTGACTGGAATCGAACCCGGGACCCTTCAGGCTGCAGGTTGATGCTCTATCTATCCGCTGAGTCAAACTGGCTAGCGCAATAGGTTCTTTTTGTAAAAAAAATATATTTTATTGATTTTTTACAGAGAGGAAGGGAGAGAGAGAGATAGTTAGAAACATCGATGAGAAACATAGATCAGCTGCCTCCTGCACACCCCTCACTGGGGATGTGCCTGCAACCAAGGTACATGCCCTTGACCGGAATCGAACCTGGGACCCTTCAGTCCACAGGCTGATGCTCTATCCACTGAGCCAAACCGGTTAGGGCAGGAAATAGGTTCTTTTAAAGATATATGAATTATGTATTGGCTGAAATTAATTATCTAAGGGTGATGTATTTAAGTACTGTGCTTCTTAGTGCAGAATCTCAGAGGGAAGGGGGGTCGAGGAGGGAAGTAATTAACCAAGGACCTTGGGTGCACATGTGCATGACCCATGGACACAGACAATGAGGTGTGGGGGAGGGGCGGCTTGGAGGGGGTCAATGGGGAAAATAGGGGACATATGTAATAAATAAATAAATAAAGGTAAATACTGTGCTTCTTCATGATGTGCTGACTCACTGTTTGTGCCTCACACCTTGGAAAGTGTCGGGTAGCTGCCTGTCCCCAGGTGAGACATCTCACAGGAGTAGCCTTGGAGTTACACCTGGTCAGCGTCGCCTTGTTACAAAGAGGAGATATTCCACAACCAGGACCCCGTTACAAGGCTCTGTGGTTGCAGTTGCCTGTCCCTTCAGCACTCCCTGGAGGCTTAGCCTTTCTGAAGTGGAAGGAGTCAGGGTGGAGCCTGGGTCACGGGAGGAGTCAGGCACGTGAAGTGAGTGCCTTCCTCCCGCTGGGAAGGTCTGGAACCCGAGTGCTGAAATGAAGCCTGGGGTGTGGCTATAGGCCAGTGGTTCTCAAACTTCCTAATGCCGGGCTCCTTTAATACAGTTCCTCATGTTGTGGTGACCCCCAATTTCATTGTTACAAATTGAACATAATTAAAGCATAGTGATTAATCACAAAAACAATCCTATCTAATAATAGACAAACATGGTAATTGATTGTACCTTTGCTATGCCTCCCATTGGCTAATCAGCACAATATGCAAATTAACCGCCAACAAAGATGGCGGTTAATTTGCATACGTAGGCTCCAAGCAATGGAGGGAAGCCTGACGGCCCAGGGCCGGCGGAGCAGCGAGGCCTCACGGCACTGGGGCCAGCGGAGCAGTGAAGCCTCACGTCCCTGGGGCCAGCGGAGCAGCGAAGCCTGACGTTTCCGGGGCCAGCTCCAGCCAGAACTCGGCCAGAGTGAAGGCCTGGGCCCCGGGTGCCGGAGGCAAACCAGTGCCAGCAGCCAGGGGAAAGGAAGGCCTATTGCACGAATCTCTTCGTGCAACAGGCCTCTAGTATGTAATTATATATGTGTTTTCTGATGGTCTTAAGCAACCCCTGTGAAAGGGTCGTTCAACCCCCAAAGGGGTCACGACCCACAGGTTGAGAACCGCTGCTATAAGCAGATTCAATATATAAACATAAAGTCTTGAAAGCCCATTAATCCTTTGAGAAAACAATAGCTAAAATGTGTTCAGCACTATTTTAAACTTGTTACACATTTTAATTAATTTAATCCTCAGCAATTCTATAAAGAAGGTAGCACCTATTATTATAATCCCCATTTTACAGCTGCACAACTTGGGACTCATGGAGATGAAGTGGCTTGTCCAAGGCCAACCTATCAGAGTGCCCGGCTCTGCACTCAGCCTTGCCCTTCACCTGCAGAGAGAGCAGTTAGCGCAGGCGGTGGTGGCGGTGGCGGCGGCACAGAGCGGAGTGGCTGCCTCAGTCCTGCCCTCTGGGAAGGACCGGAACAGCCGTGCATTCTAAGAGGCACTGAATGAAGTGGCCTCGTGCACAGCTGGCTCGGGAGGCTCAGGGACCAGTCCTGCATGGCTGCCTTCTGCTTTGGTGATGTTGGGCAAGTTATTCATAGCTTTTGTGTTTGGGCTTTTTGGGTGAGGATTATAAATGAGTTAAAATATGCAAAAACACTTAGAATAGCACCTGACACTCAAGTACTCAATAAGTGCTGGGTAATATACTTTTCAATTAAAACCCTCTTCAAGCTGAATGTTATGGTCTTCAGATAGATAATTATCCAGCATTTACCATCCTTTCATTTTAGGCCGAAGCTTTGAGATCCCATGAAAGGCAAAAGCAGAGTAATGAAAGGAAGGCAGATAGACACCTTGCCTGGGAAATGGATGAAGCCATTCTGAGAAATGCAGAATGCACGGAGCTACCTACACACCCCGACTAACGGTGGGGAAGCCTTCCTTCTAAACATTGTTTCTTTTGTGCTCCTTTAGGTGCAGTTTTCATTCCAGGGACCACTCAGCTGACCCAGAACGACATCCTCTACAGACTGCAGTCTTCAAAAGCCAAGTGCATTGTCACCCATGATGCTGTCGCCCCAGCAGTAGATGCGGTGGCATCTCAGTGTGAAAACCTGCGCTCCAAGCTCATTGTGTCTCAGAACCCCCGAGAGGGGTGGGGGGACCTCAAGGAGATGATGAAGTGAGTAACCATCATTGTTGTAGAATAGCTTCCCCAAAGAAAGACAACATTGACCAGATACTCAGTCCACGAGTGATGTGATCAGAAAAATGACAATAAAAACAATAAACAGCCCAGCCAGCATGGCTCAGTGGTTGAGCATCGACCTATGAACCAGGAGGTCACAGTTCAATTCCCAGTCACGGCACATGCCTGGGCTCGGGCTCGATCCTCAGTAGGGGGCGTGCAGGAGGCAGCCAATTAGTGATTCTCATCATTGATGTTTCTATCTCTCCCTCTCCCTTCAGAGCTCTCTGAAATGAATAAACATATATTAAAGAACACACCATAGGCCCTAACTGGTTTGGCTCAGGGGCTAGAGTGTCGGCCTGCAGACTGAAGGGTCCCAGGTTCAAGTCTGGTCAAGGGCATGTACCTTGGTTGCAGGCACATTCCCAGTAGGGGGTGTGCAGGAGGCAGCTGATCACTGTTTCTCTCTCATCAATATTTTTAACTCTCTATCCCTCTCCCTTCTTCTCTGTAAAAAATCAATTAAAAAATACATTAAAAAACACACCATAGGCAAAGGGAGCAGCTGGTGATTAGCACTGTGCCAGGGTGCAGCGCTCTGAGGCAGGCAGGAGCTTGGCCTGTTTTCATAGTTGGGATTTTTAGGAAGCAGACACTGAGACAGAGATTAATCGAATTAAGAAGTTTACTAAGTTCTCTTGGGATTAACACCTGTGAAGGAAGGCAAAGGATGTGGGATCGGGCAAAAGAAGAAATTTATCTGCCGTGTACTCCCAAAGAAGCCTCCAGCCAACCCACTGAGGCCCCTGGAGTTTGGATAGCCTCTCAGAGCAGTTCCCAGCTAAAGTACTAGTAAGAGGCCTGGCCTTGGGCGAGGCAGCTGTCAGAGGGCTCCGAGTAAGTCCTCCATCCCTGCAGCAGGGTTTAGCAGGTGCCACAGCATCAACCGCAGAGCTGGGAGTGGCTCCAAAAGCAGAGGAGAGCAACACTGCTGTCAGCCTTACAGAACACTCATGAGTGTAGAACCCTCAGTATTCATGAATGCAGTTATGAAATGGAATTATTCTGATGCCCACGCCCTGCGGGGGGCTTCCAAGGCTCTTGTCAGGTGTTGGTTCTCTCTCAGCTTCAGGAGGACTGCAAATTCCTTGTCTAGAATGAGCTTGCTTCACTCAAGGGTTTGGGAGCATGCTCCCACCTTCTCTCAAACAGCTAACAAGTATTGAGTTCTTACCAATGGCCAAGGACTGTTCTAATAAAAATAATGTTGTAGCTACAATATAGCTGCCATGTCTGTGGCTCTGGTGTATGCCAAAATTCTTCCAAGCACTTGAGATGTATTAAATCATTAATCTCACCATCTCGGGGTAGACACTGATTATACAGATGAATAAGGTCAGATGCTAGGGTCTGAGCCCACACTCCTGTCTGTGACCTTCAAGGGCTCTAGTAGTGAGAGATTGATATGGTAACTCTACCTCAGGCTTCAGAGGAAACCATATCTGTGATAGGAGTGACAGGTACAGGGCTCTAGGTACTACCTATTTTTAAGGAAGATAATTATGGAATCAGAGACCAACCACATTTGGTCTACCTCTGCTAGGCTTTGAAAACAGCTTTCCTGCCCTGGCTGTTTTGGCTCGGTGGATAGAGCGTCAGCCTGCAGACTGAAGGATCCTGGGTTCGATTCCAGTCAAGGGCACATGCCTGGGTTGTGGGCTCGATCCCCAGTAGGGGGCATGCAGGAGGCAGCCAATCCATGATTCTCTCTTTTCATTGGTGTTTCTATCTCTCTCTCCCTCTCCCTTCTTCTCTCTGAAACCAATCTACACTAATAAAAGACGACAAACATGCAAATTGACCGTACCTTTGCTACACCCTAAGCCATGCCCACCAGCCAATCAGAGCAACTATATGCAAATTACCCCAGCCAAGACGGCGGCCGGCAGCCACGGAGCTGGAGCAAGCAAGAGGCTTGGTTGCCCGGGCGATGGAGGAAGCCAAGCTTCCCGCCTGCCCTGAGCTGGCTGTGGCCTCCGCTCATGGCAACAAAGTTTCAATTATAGAAGACAAATAAATCCCAGATACCTGCTTCCAGCCAGCCTCCACTGGCAGCTGGGGTGGCTGGGGGTTGTGGCCAGCCTGCAAACAGCCATCAGCCCCTCTCCCAGGCTGGCCAGTCACCCCAGCGGGGATCCCCACCCTGAAGGGGCTGTGGCCAACCTGCAAACAGCCATCAGCCCCTCTCCCAGGCTGGCCAGTCACCCCAGCGGGGATCCCCACCCTGAAGGGGCTGTGGCCAACCTGCAAACAGCCATCAGCCCCTCTCCCAGGCTGGCCAGTCACCCCAGCGGGGATCCCCACCCTGAAGGGGCTGTGGCCAACCTGCAAACAGCCATCAGCCCCTCACCCAGGCTTGCCAGGCACTCCTGTATAATAAAAGGGTAATATGCAAATTGACCCTAACAGCAGAATGACTGGGGGTGACTGGTCACTATGACACACACTGACCACCAGGGGGCAGATGCTCAATGCAGGAGCTGCCCCCTGGTGGGCAATACGCCCCCACAGGGGGAGCTCTGCTCAGCCACAAGCCAGGCTGATGGCTGCCAGTACAGTGGTGGTGGTGGGAGCCTCTCCTGCCTCAGCAGCGCTAAGGATGTCCGACTGCAGCTTAGGCCTGCTCCCGGCTGGCAAGTGGACATTCCCCAAGGGCTGCCGGGCTGCCAGAGGGATGTCTGACTGCCAGCTTAGGCCCAATCCCCCAGGGAGCAGGCCTAAGCCAGCAGGTGGTCATCCCCTGAGGGGTCCCAGACTGCAAGAGGGCACAGGCCGGGCTGAGGGACCACCCCCCCCCCCGAGTGCACAAATTTTTGTGCACCGGACCTCTAGTAAAAATATATTTAAAAAACAAAACAGCTTTCCTACATTTCTCATGGCCTGGCTGCTCTGATTGATTCAGCCTTAGCCTGATAAACTCTATATGCTTCGTAGATGCTGGATGTGCAGAGCTTGCCTACTCTCAGCTGCCCTGATGTCTGACTTACATAACAGCCCAGTTATCCTTCAGAACTAAATGCCTTCTTTCTCTTTAACTGGGGTCCTTCCTTCCCTGGATGGGTGCTTAGATCCCCTTAAGTGTTACTATTTACTGTATTCAGAACCATGTAGATGCTCGTGTGGGAAACAGAACAACAATCCTTCCAGAAGTCAGCAAACACCTATAAAAGGAGTGGAGAATAAGTATTTTAGGCTTTGCAGGCTGTGCACCCTGCCTCTGTCACAGCTGCTCACCTCTGCTGTTGTAGAATGAGAACAACCATAGGCTATATGTAAATGAATGGGCATGGCTGTGTTCCAATAAAACTTTATTTAAAAAAATAGGAGGTGGGCCAGATTTGGCCTGTGGGCTGTAGTTTGCCGACCCCAGCTTTATATACCACTAGAGGCCCGATGCACGAAATTCATGCAAGAGTAGGCCTTCCTTCCCCCAGTTGCCGGCACCGGCTTCCCTCTGGCACCCGGGACCCGGGTTTCCCTCACAGCCCCGGCTTCGTCTAGAAGGTCATCTGGTCTAATTAGCATATTATGCTTTTATTATTATAGTCTAGAGGCCTGTTGCACGAAGAGATTCATGCAATAGGCCTTCCTTTCCCCTGGCTGCTGGCACCGGTTTGCCTCCAGCACCCAGGGCCCAGGCCTTCGCTCTGGCCAAGTTCTGGCCAGAGCCGGCCCCAGAAACGTCAGGCCTCGCTGCTCCGCCGGCCCCGGAGCCGTGAGGCCTCGCTGCTCCACCGGCCCCGGAAATGTTAGGCCTCACTGCTCCACCGGCCCCGGGCCGTCAGGCTTCGCTCCACCGCTTGGAGCCTACGTATACAAATTAACCGCCATCTTTGTTGGTGGTTAACTTGCATATCGCGCTGATTAGCCAATGGGAGGTGTAGCGAAGGTATGGTCAATTACCATGTTTGTCTATTATTAGATAGGATTACCCATGACTTCTATTAACATACTCATTACTTTTAAAAAATATATCACATTTTGCCCTACCTGGTTTGGCCCAGTGGCTAGAGTGTCGGCCTGTGGACCGAAGGGTCCTGGGTTCGATTCTGGTCAAGGGCACGTACCTTGGTTGCAGGCTCCTCCCCCAGCCTGGGCCCTGGTCAGGGCTCATGCAGGAGGCACCCAATCGATTATTTTCTCTCACATTGATGTTTCTCTCTGTCTTCCCCTCTCTCTTCCACTCTCTCTAAAAAGCAATGGAAAAATATCCTCTGGTGAGGATTAACAAAAAAAAGAAAATCACATTTTAAAGCATTCATGGTGAAGGGGCAGTTCTGCACAAATCCATCTGTTACAACACCCTAGAATTCTCATTCTGCTGCAGGAATGATAGAACTCTTGAGTGTTTAAAACGCACTAATTGTGTAATCATACAATTAAAGGCTATGAAACTGGCCATTATAAGTGGGCTATCGATGGCAGTTAATCTGATTCTAGAAAGCACCTGAGAAGATGGAGAGGGAGATGGCATTCACCTTGAATTCAACCCAAATCACTGGGGGCCTGACCACTGGGGAACGCGATCCGAGTGGATGGTTTCTCATCCTTTTCTGTGCCGACAGTCTGTCCTGCGGTGTTTAATGTGCAGAATCACTGCAGTTCTTCCTTCCTCCACAGGCCAGGAACAACCACACGTGTTTAACGTGCACATTCACCGTAGCTCTTCCATCCTAGGCGTGCCACTGACAACCACACGTGTGTGGAGACAAGACACGATGAGACCATGGCCATTTACTTCACCAGCGGCACGAGCGGATCTCCCAAAATGACTGCACACACCCACAGCAGTTACGGTTTAGGATTGTCTGTAAACGGAAGGTAGGCTCACAGAGCTGCAGCTGGAGGCTCCACAGCTGCCAGGTGATGATTCCTTTATTGGTCTTTGGATTTGTTTCCCACATGGGTCAGGCCTATGCTCTGTTCCCAGGTTCTGGCTGGATTTGACACCGTTGGACGTGATGTGGAACACCTCCGACACAGGCTGGGCCAAGTCTGCATGGAGCAGCGTGTTTTCGCCATGGATCCAGGGAGCGTGTGTATTTGCACATCATTTGCCGCAGTTTGAGCCAACTTCCATCTTGCAAGTAAGCAGAGCCCAAGAGGTCAGCGTTTAGAAATGCGTTAGCAGTGCTGCCCACAGGACTGCGCACACGTGCTCGCAGAAATCAGAGCACAAGGTGATTTAAGGCATTTCACATCTAGAAAGTAAAACAACCTGAACAGATAAGTTGAGGAAAGGTGTGAGTGCATTTATGTTAGAATAATCACTGTGCCTCCCATAGACACTAGGCACTTATTAAAGTTGTAGTAAGACCAAGAGTTTACTTCTTATACATTGCAGACGCTCTCCAAGTTTCCCATCACAGTCTTCTGTTCAGTGCCAACTGTATACCGAATGCTTGTGCAAAATGATGTGACCAGGTAAGAAAGGTTGGTAAAGAGGCACATAATGGGAGAGGGGAGAGAAAGAGAAAGCTCTAAAATAAAAGCTCTTTCTGCCTAAAAACATAATTCCAGACTCGTAGGTGTGGGATTTAGCAATCTCTTCTCCTCTCCATCCTCTTGCTCCTCTGTGATAATAATTACCACGTCCAGGGCAGGGTCGGCCATGTGCATAGCCCTGAGAGCCCAGGGGATGAGGACCGTCCTCTGACCTGGGACAGTGAAGAAGCACCCCTACTTGGAACCCTGTCCCAGCAAACAGGGGACAGCATGGGTGTCCTTTACTCTGGTCCTGATTCCATTTGACAAGGTGAATTGGTAACTATTTTTAATTGATTTTATTTAAATTTGACTAGGAAGAGTTCACATGACATAAAATTCAGTATATATATATAAAGCTAATATGCAAAGTGTCCCTTCAGGAGTTCAACTGGGAGACTGAGAGTTCGATCGATCGCTATGACATGCGCTGACCACCAGGGGGCAGTGCGGAATGAAGGAAGGCTCCAGCCAGCACTCAGCAGCCGGGGAAGGAAGGCCCTGGCCTGCAGCCAGAAGGCCCCAATCAGCCCTGATCGCCGACCAGGCCTAGGGACCCTGCCTGTGCACAAATTCCGTGCACTGGGCCTCTAATAGGTATATAAGAATCTATATTGAAAGTCTTCCTCCAAACCTTGTCCTCAGTCTCATTTCTCCTTCTTCCTGAAATCTATGTGTACACCAGCAGGCACGTGCTCTTCCCCTCTTCATAAATATAAATGGAAATATAATATGCACACAGTGCTGCACCTTCCCCCTAACAGTACATCCTGAACCTGTGCTGTCTAAAGTAGTACAACTCACCACATGTAAGTATCTAAAATTTAATTTTAGTTAAATTAAAATTTCAGTTCCCTGCCCTAACTGGTTTGGCTCAGTGGCTAGAGCGTCGGCCTGCGGACTGAAGGGTCCCAGGTTCGATTCCGGTCAAGGGCATGTACCTGGGTTGTGGGCACATCCCCAGTGGCGGGTGTGCAGGAGGCAGTTGATCGATGTTTCTAACTCTCTATCCCTCTCCCTTCCTCTCTGTAAAAAATCAATAAAATATATTTTTGAAAAAAAAAATTTTTTCAGTTCCAGACTATAAATTTTATTGTAGTGCATGTTTGCTAAGAGAGTAAATCTTAAAAGTTCTTACCACAAACAAAAATAATCTTGTAACTATGTAGGATGACGGATATTAATCTTATTGTGGTGATGATTTCACAATATATAGAAATATCGAATCATTATGTTGTACACCTGAAACTAATTTAATGTTATATGCCAATTATACTTAAAAATAAAATTCAGTTCCTCAGTTGTACTAGTCATGGTTCAAGTGATCAGTAGCCACACTGAGCTAGAGGATACTAAGTGGATAGCAAAGATGAGAGAAATTTCCATGGTAACAGAAAGCTCTATTGGACAGCACTATCCAGGAATGTCCTTGTTCTTTTTTACAGCTGTATACTATTCCATTGTATAAATATTTCATAGTCAATTTCAGACAAGTAGAAAACTTTTAATCCTGATTTAACATATTAGTTAAATATGATTACCATGTGTGGTATCCTCCTTAAGGATTTTTTGCAATAAATCATGTTTCCCATCCCCCAAATTAAAGGGAGAAAAGAAAAAGAAAAACTGGTGTGTGAGGAGTCACTTTATGATGTTAGAATGGTTTATTTTGATTGGAGAAGGGAGTTAAGAACTAAAACACAATGTTGTGGTCTCACTCATATTTGGGATATAATGATCAACATAATCTAATGAACAAGAATAGATCCAGAGACAAATCACAGGGGAGGGGGGTTTAGAGAGCAACCAAAGGACTTGTATACATGCATATTAACATAATCAATGGACACAGACACTGGGGCAGTGGGGGCTTGCCCGGGGGTGGTCAATTGGGGAGAAAGTTTCTATGTAAAACTTTAGACAATAAATAAATAAAACACAATTAATGTTGGCTTTTCATTATAAATAATCTTAATTTCCATTTCTTCCCATCTTTCCTCCTAAATTTAATCTGTGACCTGTCTTCTGAGAAGCTTTAAGTTCAAAAGCTTAAAGCACTGTGTGAGTGCAGGGGAACCCATCAGCCCTGAAGTGACTGAGCAGTGGAGAAGCAGGACAGGGCTGGAGATCTACGAAGGATATGGACAGACTGAGACGGTACAAACCTCCCTGGGCAGACAGGGCTGGATCCCATATAGTCCGATGCATAGAAACCAAAGGGTTCATTATCTACCTAGGGTTGTTTGAGAGCTAGGGAGGGAATGGAGTGGTCAGAGCAGTTTTAAAAAACTTGAGGGAAGCTAGTTGCAAAAAAAGCTCTGTAGCAGACATGCCGGGGACTGACCAGCAGACCCTGAGTGACGGTTGAATGATTACTCTGACACACGTTTCTGTGAAAGAGAGGGCTAAGGGACTGCCTGGCTAGAGGAACCAGACAGCTCGTTCACCTGCCTCTTTAGGCTTTTATTGTAAGAGCAGTTTGAGATAAGGTTTATCTTTTAGATACAATCAGTGGGGTAAGTAATCTTGGGAGGACACATGTGTCTGCAGTGTCCTTTAAGCAAGGACACCTAAAGATTAAGCATAAAAATTCCAGTAAACACCCGAGGGTCCGCACGCGCACAGACTTGTTTGGAAAGGTCAAGGAATAATAGGGGTAGCTGCCTTGGGCCAACTCCCCTAAGTCAGAATTCCGAGAAACAGGGTGGCCGCCTTCCGCCAACTCCCCGTTTTGGAATTTCCTCTTTATAAACTTTCCAACCAAGTCCCGTGCTTCCCCACACAGACACAGTTGTTTAAATAGCCTAACATTACAACCTGGAGCTGTGTAATAGAAATAGCCATTCATTAAGAAAAACTGCTATATAACTGATCAAGGTAAAGGCATTACAATATTTTTAAATGAAAAAAATTACTAGAGTTATAAAAAGATTTCCCCGTATATAATAGGGAACTTACTTAGTCAAGGCTGCCTCAAAATTGAAAATGTTGAGTTGCTTATTACTTAAAACATTATGAGTTTGGTGGACAACACCATGACAAGCATACTTTAGGGTCATTTAAAGAGCTTGTAGAAATAGGAATAAGAAATTCTAAAGAAAATGAAAAAAATAATGACAGAAGTGGTAATTATGTAGGAAAGGGGGGTAAGATGGAACAGATAAGGGAAAAGCTGAAAGAATGTTTTCAAAGTGTATCTTTTTACAATGCACCAACTTATAAACCATAAGAATGTAGTAGCTGGTCAACAATAAAAATACCAAACATAAATTAAAATTGACAAATTTATTAAATAAGAACAGCATAAGTATCAGGCTAATATGAGTATAATGTTTTCATAAATATGGGTATTTTAGTGATTATAAATGTATCCAGTGTTATAACTGTATTATATATATTTTACTTAGTGTCCATCTCTGTACTTCATTAGATAGACGTGAGTGCAGAGAATTTGTTTTCTTTTGAACCTGGTTCCTACTAAGTTCTCAGAAACATGGTGGATAAATGAATAAGTTTTTTGTTACTGGTAACGTTACTTTATCCTTTCTTCTTCTTGACTAGGTGCTGATCTGTGGACATTTTAAGGGAATGAAAATTAAGCCTGGCTCAATGGGAAAGCCTTCGCCTGCCTTTGACGTTAAGGTTGTGCAGACACCTCCAGGAGATTAAACAGCCTGCAATTCCCACCCCACTGCTCCCTTCCCCTACACTCCTAGTTTGGGTGATAACTTCATGCTATCTTAACTTCCATGGAAAGATGGGAATGGACTAGAAATGTTAGTTTGTTGGTCTCCATTTTTTTTCTGTTCCAATTTTAGTATATGTGCTGCTGAAGCACCCATTTTTTTTTAAAAGCAGTTAGTTACTTGTGCCAAGTAATTCTAAGCATTTTATAAATATTAACCCACTTAATTTCCAGGAGCCCATGAGAGACAGAGTAATATTTGAACCACTTTACAGATGAGGCCCAGCGAGGGTAAAGAATGTACCCGAGGTTGGACAGGAGCTGCTGGTGCTGGGACTCAACCCCAAGCGACCTAGTCCAGTCTGTGCTCCACACAGCACCACACTGCCTCCTGGCGAGTCACGTGGGCAGGAGAGGCTGCAGCATTCTCCCTCTTCCTGCAGGCGGGCCTGTAACCTCTGCCATCTCCACCCCTATCCCTGAGTGGCCTCCTGTATCCCACCAGCGCCCTTGTACAGGTTAGGACTATTCTTAAATCAACCCAGCCAATGCTAGGGATAGGAAAGGAACTTACCTACTATACAAAAGAAAACAGGAGCAACAAAAACGCTAAGCAGACAAACTGACAGAGAGCTCAGACCAAACTTAACGGAGGGCTGTAGATTAGACCAATGCTTCCCAAGCTCATTCAAGCATAAGAATCACATGGCACTTGCTAAAAATGCTGATTTTTCCAGCCCCTTCCCTGGAGAGTCCGAGTAAGTGGGTTTAGGGTGGGAGCCTGAAATCTGTGTTTGAAACAAGCATCCAGGTAGTTCCCATGATCAGGTAAGTTTGAGAAAGTTTAGGTGACATTGATTGCTGACATCCCTGTTTCTATAAAGCAGATGCTGGGCCCTTTCCTCCCCTCTCAGTTGCTGTGGGAACCTGTCTAAAGGTGGGATTGCCTAGCGGTTCAGGTCTGGCTGCTGTTCGCGTGGGAGTCTGGTGAGCTGGTACCTAGCTACGAGCAGCCGCACCCACACTCTGGTATCTGGGGATGTGCCCCAACCAGCTGGATATCAAGTTCGTGCAACTTCAAGGCCCAAAGCTCCTCATGTTCTTGTTTAACATCTTGGGACCTTGAGCTATGAGGAATGTGACTCTCCAGAGACAAAGCATTTTGTCTTTCCCCAGTCATTAGAGAGTATGTGCAACTCCTAAACGCCTCCTCCTGTCAGTAATTCCTTCATACCTGGAACCAAGTATTTCTTTAGGTGACTGGGTGGGAATCCATATTTTTTATTTACAAGAACTAAATGGTAAGACTTTACATTTACATTTCCTTTGCCTTTCACGTTTCCCATTGAGGACATAAGCCCTCTTCCCTCTGTAAAGTGCCAGCTACGAATTATGTCCTCCTTTTCCACACAAGCCACATCTCAGGCTTAAAGGTTCTTGGTGAGTGAATATAAAAGCCGTCGAGTGTTCATATTTGAGAACAGCTAAAGTCATTTAGAGCAAAATCCGGTACATAAGATAAGCAATCAGCCTGGGAAATGCCCTGGCTGGGTGGCTCACTTGGTTGGGGCTTCATCCCATACACCAGAAAGTTGTGGTTCGATCCCTGGTTGGGGCTTGTATGGGAGTCAACCAATTAATGTTTCTCTCTCACGTCAATGTTTCTCCCTCTCACTCCATCTTTCTCCTTCCTTTCCCCCCTCACTCTCTCTAAAACATCCTTGGGTGAGGCCAAAACAAAACCACCTTGGACTGTGCTCCTGGAGAGATTCCAGAGTGTCGATGCAAGGGCAGGGTCTGGCGCCTGAGTGCTGAGCTGAGTCAGCGCAATCATGCTCTGTTGCTTAAACTTCTGCACCTCAGTCTCCTCATGTGTAAAATGAGCTTCACAATAGTTCTAACCAAGCAGGACTATTGTAAGGACTAAAGGAAATGAGACAGCTGCAGTTCATAAAGCATTCAGATTTAGTACTTAGAATAAGCGCTCAATAAATGCTCACTTCTCAGGGGCTTGGGGAAGGGTCGGAGGGCAAGGCTTGAAAGGGCTGACCCTCCACTGTTTCCGCTGTTGCTGACATCGTGCTGCTGAAGTCAGGTGTTGTTTGTCCCACAGTTTGAAAACCAGTAGTGAATGTCTACTTCAGAGGAAAAGACAATCAAGATATATTGCTAAATGATACAAGCATTTTGCAAAAACAATACATTATAAAATGATCCTATTTTTTCCTATGTCTATATTGTCTCCAAAAATATTTCCAAAATGTGATTATTATTGGATGGTAGAATTAAAGAAAACTTTTATTCTTTTTTTTTCACATGTTGCTAACCTGCATTTTATATGTTTTGCAGTAAGAATTTAACTAAGTACATTTCTCTTAAGAATTTAAAGTATTAAAATTTGTTTGGATTTTTTAAATGGCAATAAATCAAAACAAAACAAGTAAAGCAAAGATTAAGAGGTGTCATTAAGTAAAAATTCCCTTAAATTGTTCTGTTTTATCCTAGATTTTAGATGCAAATGGCAATGTTCTACCTCCTGGACAAGAAGGAGACATTGGCTTTCAAGTTGTACCTAAGCGACCACTTGGCCTTTTCACTCATTACGTAGTAAGAGGCTCATCAAATAACGTCTTCTTTTCTATTTGTTTCTCAAAAGTCTTTGGTCATAATCTCTACTTGCCACAAGCATACCTCGGATAGGTACTTGGCCTTTTCTTGAGAGACCCATGTCCTAAGACAGAGAACTGGAAAAGCACCCCCATGCTTGGTGGAGAAGGGCTCGGGCTCCCCAGGCTAGAACACGCCTCCGGGCCACGCTGCGGGCGGAGGGCAGCCCAGAAGGAAGATGCCTCTTACTCACACTGGGCCTCTCTGCCACCCAACACCACATCATTTCCCTGGATCCAAGGAGTGGTCTCCCTTCTTGCAGGGGTGAGAGGGATAGAGAACGGGGCAGTAACGCAAGTGCACTTCTTCCACTGAGGGCCTTCCAGGCTCCTTACAAATGCATTCCCCTCCCTAATCACAGTAGACAAATGAGTGCAAGGTTTACACCAATTCATCCAAGGCCCAGGCTCTAATTGCTGGTGAATTTTAAATAATTTAGCAACACATCATTTTTCTTCCTGCCCAAGTTACAGGACCAATCCTATTTCCGTGTAAAACCAGACAAAATACCATAAAAACCACTGGCTGTCCTTTGAATTATTAGGTGTTGGTTCTTTCTTTGAACTCTGAGTGTTCCTTCTCTCACTCCTCCCAGTGTTCGATATTAGCCACTTAGCCAAAGGCAGCCTGCTCCTCTGAGCTCGAGCTCCTGCAGGCGTACTTTGCGATCTACCTACAGAATTCTCTGGGTAGAGCATGCCTGGTCTTTGTAACTGTAGTTCACCTTCCGTATGTCACATGCTGGCTCCTCTTCATTCTAAGGCTTCTCAAAGTTATCAGACTTCTTTCTCCTGAGCACTTAAGAGTTCAATGGAACAGAAAAGTCACATTCACTAAACAAAATGCTATTTGTTTCACAGGATAATCCTACAAAAACAGCTTCAACTCTCCGAGGCAACAACTACATCACTGGGGACAGAGGCTATATGGATGAAGATGGATATTTCTGGTTTGTTGGGAGATCGGATGATGTCATATTATCCTCCGGGTAATTTCTTCAGCTGTGCATTTGTCTACGTGAAATGGTCATCAGTGTTCCGGGGTGAACCTGCTGCTCACGTCATAAACGTCTGTTGTGTGTTTTACCTCCAGTTACCGAATTGGGCCGTTTGAGGTGGAGAGTGCCCTGGCGGAGCATCCTGCGGTGGCGGAGTCGGCTGCTGTCAGCAGCCCGGACCCCATCAGAGGAGAAGTAAAAGAACGATTCGTCTCCACTTTATAATGTGTTAGCAGCCCGACACATACCTTAAATCATAGTTCATTGGGACAGAATTACCCACATGATTCATTCACTTACTGTGCAAGTCAAATAGGAAGAATTGCTACAGAATAAAACTGCAAAACATACTCTAAGGAATTTTAACCCTCTCCATGGAGGGCCAGGGCAAAGACGGCATGAATGCCAACAGCCCGGCTTGCACCAGGCAGGGTGTTGGAGGTCAGCTGGACAGGAACACGCTGGTGCCCCGAGGTCTGGGAACTACACAGTCCCGGAGTGGCCGAGGAGAACAGGCTGGGTGGGAGCAAGGTCAGAGACAGGAGCCGAGGCAGCCAGAAGCAGGCCGTGGAGGTCAATAAGCAGAGGTTCAGGAAATAAGCTCTAAATAAGACAGGAGTCCTGACAGCTCACTCCTATGGGCTGACCACCTGGCTGTGTCGGTAAAGGTTCCATGCCACTCTTCAGGTGCCCTCTGCCAGGCAGACTCCCAATATTCCAGATGGATAAGAGCTGGGAACAGATTCAGCGATGGCGGAAGTTTGTCCCTTTGCACTGAATTCCACCAGAAGGGTTTTGTGAGTCTCGGCTCCTCCTGAACCGGCCCCCAGCCTCTGTCATCATTAATTGTGTCCACCCAGATGCTAACTTGAAAGCTGAGCCTTTAGGACTGGGTTGGCTTGGGAGTCAGCTCATATCCCAGAGTATAAGGCAACAAAGTGGGTGTTGGTCCCAACGCCTCCTGCGGGGGGCGTCCTGGGTTCCCCTTGAGGCAGGCCTGTCCTGGCTGTGCTCCTTGTCCTCCAGGCCTCACACTGAGTAGCACGTTCCAGAAGAATTTACCAAACAGATAAGATGAAGACTTTAGGACAATATCCAAAATATTGATCATTTTTATCTACCTACCACAGTCTTGCAACTTATGTGCATTTTCACACTATTGTCCATTTTGCAATATTTTAGCTTTAAAATTCCTAATGCTATTTGCTAATCATAAATACTTTGACAGTTTTATGATAACTTAATTTTTCTCGGGTAAAATGAGTACCCGGGTACATGCCCTTGATCGGGAATCAAACCCGCAACCCTTTGATGCACAGGCTGATGCTCTAACCACTTAACCACACCAGCCAGGCCTATTACTTTGCTTTTAAAATTTTATTTTCAGCCAATGACTTAATTTGCCTATTTAGCTACATTTTCACAATTTTCAAAAAAGTGTGTTTTCCACAAGGCTTCTTTAAAAGACACCGCTTCAAACAGGGACAAAGGAGTGGGTGACTTTGTTACCACTGTCACTTCTGAAGAGAACATCTAGGTGTGAAGTGCTGTTTAACGTTGGTTGGAACGTGAAATACAGAGCAGAGAAATGTTTATCCAGGTTGATGGGTTCCTAATTTTCTGGATCACACAGCTCTGTGGAATTTGAGGGCCACTGGACCAATGCAATGATGAAATTGTTCTGTATTTGCACCATCCAATACAGTAGCCACCCTTGTACGACTGAGGAAATTTTATTACCTTCCACTTTAATTTGAATGTAAATAGCTATATGTGACTAGTGGCTGCCATTTGGAATAGTACAACCATAGGCTTTTCCTATAAACATGCAACATTTTGCATAGTATTTCAGAAAAATTTGAAGCACACTTAGGGCTAAAAATATCTTGTGCTCCTACTATTACAACTAATACCACCTAATGTTTTTGAGGACTTAGCATGTTCCAGGTATTTCTGTAAGCCCTACATCCTGTTTTCCTAGAGAAGGGAACTGCGGCACAGAGCGGTGTCCGAACTTGGCCAGGATCATACAACAAAGTATGACGGGAACCCAGGTTGTCACATTTGGGTCCATGCTCTTCTCCAGGTCAGGTTGTTCCTTATTAATTTATCATTTTCTATAATGGTTTATAAAAGACTTTTAAAAAGATAGATTTTATCCAAGGTGTAGAAGTCACAATATGCAAATCAGTAATTACAAACATTAGTTCTAAATATAATTTGCCTCTCAGTGAACAATTCACTTATAACAAGGATAAATTTTTAAAAAAAATTTTTTAATTGATTTTAGAGAGAGAGGAAAGAGAGGGAAACATCAGTGTGAGAAACATACATCAACTGCCTTCACACCCCGTACTGGGGATCAAGCCACAACCCAGGCATGTGCCCTGACTGGGGACTGAACCAGCAACCTTTTGGTACATGGGATGACACCCAACCAACCGAGTCACACCGGCCAGGGCCAGTAAGGATACTTTTTTTATTTTTTATTAATATATTTTATTGATTTTTTACAGCGAGGAAGGGAGAGGGAGAGAGAGTTAGAAACACCCATGAGAGAGGAACATTGATCAGCTGCCTCTTGCACACCCCCCACTGGGAATATGCCCGCAACCAAGGTACATGCCCTTGACTGGAATCGAACCCGGGACCCTTCAGTCCGCAGGCCAATGCTCTATCCACTGAGCCAAACCGGTCAGGGCGGGGATACTTTTTTTAAAAAAAATTCATAAAAATGTTGATAAAAGTAGCAGAGCAGGCATAAATACAAATGATTTTAAGAAATGTCAAAATATAGATAGGATAAATTTGTATACATGCATATACATACACACAGTTGCACAACTGCCCCATTGCACATGTAAATTAGAAATGTTCAAGGGGTTTTGGTAAAGACAAAATTGAATAATTATTCATAAAATGTTATAAAATTGCTCATTGGTATACAATGATCATTTCTCCTAACTGGTTGCCCAGAGTGGCTTATTGTTTCAAACAGTTCATTTTCAATCGATATTTGCTCTCCGACTATGGTGGATGGTAACGCGGGCAGCTTACCTTCAAGCTGAACTTGTTCACGTCTCAAACTCTGCTTTCCTACCTGTGAGTAAGGTCTCAGCCTGTTCAGTGCAGGATATTTCCTCATAAAAGCTGCAGGCGCCGCCTGGGCCATGCCAAGGAAGCGCCCGCACAGAGTGCTGGCTGGGGGCTGGATTTGGTGGCGCACTGCTATTTGACTCACCGAGTTGCCTCTCGGGAAGGCAGTGCTGGGGTACCACTTAGAATCTCAGTACACTCTTCAAGTGGCTACACAGGAGGGTGGCCTTCTGCCTTCTCCATTAAAGGTCCAAACACTCTGGGCAGAGCTTTACAAGAACAGTTCAAGGAGGGGTGAACTTTGAACAAGATTTCTGAGCATAGAGTAATGAAAGCTTCCCTGTGTTCTGCCAATTAGAAAGCAAGGCCACCCCACATCTACTCTTGTTCCTCAGGGTCAGGCAAGTGGGCCAGAGAATAGCAAAGCGGCTGTGGGCATCTTCACAACCTTGTGCCAACAGAAGTGTCTGGAATAGAGTGCATGGCCTCAACGCAGTGTTCCTTCACCAAGCATAAGGCAGGCCCAGTGGGAACTGTCAAAGGTGGGGCTAGAACAGGGGTGGGCAAACTTTTTGACTCGAGGGCCACAATGGGTTCTTAAACTGGACCGGAGGGCCGGAACAAAAGCATGGATGGAGTGTTTGTGTGAACTAATATAAATTCAAAGTAAACATCATTACATAAAAGGGTACGGTCTTTTTTTTTTTTTAGTTTTATTCATTTCAAACCGGCCGGATCTGGCCCTCGGGCCGTAGTTTGCCCACGGCTGGGCTAGAAGCTAGGTTCCATCAGCCTGGAGACTGTGCTTCGTGTATTGCCGTTTCCAACAGGACACTTTTTTTTTTCTGGTTAATTCTCACCTGAGGATATTTTTCCATTGATTTTTAGAGGGAAAGACAAAAACATCGATGTGAGAGAAACACATCGATTGGTTGCTTCCTGCACGAGCCCCGACCAAGGCCTGGGCTGGGGAGAAGCCTGCAACCAAGGCACATGCCCTTGACAGGAATTGAACCCTGGACCCTTTGGTCCGCAGGCCGATGCTCTATCCATTGAGCCAAACCGGCCAAGGCAATAGGAAACTTTTCAACAAGGACAGAGACAGGTAAGAAAGTGGAGTTCAAAATGCAGTTAGATGAGAAGGTTCAAGGGTAGATCATAAACAAAGCAGGGGTCCCAGAACCTCTTGTATTAGATACAGAACAGAAGGTCTGAGAGCCACCTGGCTGAAGAGCCCAGAGCTAGGATCAAACCCTGTTAAACCTCCTTGCCTTCCACCAAGCACTTAGATTCCCAGTCAGAGAAAGTAAACAAGACACACTAAAGCATGAAAATACACAACTGATCTTACTGTGTTTCAAATATTTATTTTAGGTAGTAAAGGCTTTTATTGTTCTGAACCCCAATTACAAGTCACACGGCCAAGAACAACTGAAAAAAGAGATTCAGGAACATGTAAAAAAAACTACAGCACCTTACAAATACCCCAGAAAGGTAGGTATTCTAATTACGATATTTGCTTAGTGTTCTGGAAAACCTGTTATTTTATTTTAATGAACATTCTCCTCAAACATACTATAGCAAATGACATGGATAAGAATCAGAACCTTTGAGATTAAATGAAACTCTTAAATCGAATTTGTTGGGTCATCTGGCTCATCATCAGACTTATAGTAAAATATTAAATGTCAAGAAAAATCTCAACAGTATCTCTTTTTCTCCCTTTTTGGTGTTACCAAAATCTCATCCCAATGTGTGTCCTATTCTCCACCTAGAGTTCATATAATTTGACTTTGTCTAAAAATAAAAACTTCTGGGCTAATTTTCTTCTCTTGATTCCAACAGGTAGAATTTGTTCAAGAGCTGCCAAAGACTATCAGTGGGAAGATAAAAAGAGATGAACTGAGGAAGAAAGAATGGGAATCTATTTAAATCCATTCTATTAATTATCACAGCACCCATAAAACAAAGACTGTAAAAACCACCAGATTATGAAGAGGTGATAAAAATATGATGCTTATAAACTACTGATTTTAAATACCTTGTGGTTATAACATAAGAGGCTGAACTTTGAAATAAAAAAGTAAATTCCTGCCCTAGCCAGTTTGGCTAAGTGGACAGAGCGTCGGCCTGCGGACTGAAGGGTCCCAGGTTCGATTCCAGCCAAGGGCACATGCCTGGGTTGCGGGCTCGATCCCATCGGGGGCGTGCAGGAGGCAGTCAATGATTCTCTCTCATCATTGATGTTTCTATCTCTCTCTCTCCCTTCCTCTCTGAAATCAATAAATATATTAAAAAGAAAAAAGTAAATTCCTCCGCATTGGTGTCAGTGTTCTGATAACTTGATAATACAAAAAGAATACCATCAATTGATGAGAAATTTTAAAACGTATAATATAGAAGCAGTTTATGGACCAAATCTCTGACCTGTTGGTTTTCAAATCTTAGTTGAACAATTCTTCTAATATGCTAATAATATACAAATCAGAACCAATCTTCAAGCATTGAAACAAAACTGAATAACTTGTAAGTTTTTAGAAGCACAAAAAAGTCAAATTACCATAATTCTCAAAGAAGAAATACTGACCTGAAAAATAGGCTAGGGATTTTTATTAGTCATATTTTTATTCAAATAACTTAAAATAGTTTAAAATTAATTTTAAGGTTTAATTATAAAAGAAAGATATCATATACTATTATTGCTTATTATCCTATACTAGGGGCCCAGTGCATGAATTCCTGCACCTTGAAAGGAACTGTGGGCTGTGAGGCTGTGGTGGGCACAGGGGTGGGTCCCGGCCCATCCTCCACGCCCCCGCCTGGCCCCTCCCACCGCGGGCCCCCAATCCTGTCTGCCAGCAGCCCCACTCGCACCTGCTTATGGCGCAGAGCGATTGGGGCTAGTGCCAGCAGCAGGTGCGAGTGGGGCTGGTGCTGTTAGCGGGTGCAAATGGCGGCCAGCAGCTGCCGCTGGCACCCACTGTTGGTGCTGAGTGACTGGGACTGGCACCAGACACCAGCTGCGGGTGCGAGCGCAGCTCCGGCGCCAGCAGTGGGTATGAGCAGGACTGTCGCTGGCAGCGGGTGTGAGAG